TGGCTTTCTCAAGGTCCGAATAGAATAGTTAAAAGATATAATGCCTTCCTCATTAATGGGTTCATGTTCCACACGAAATTTCGTGAAATATTAAGGAGGACACAAAATTGTAGAGTCGTAGTTACTTCGTCAACTACAAGTTATGCTACTGTAAGGGACAATAATCCGCAGGATGGAGAGGTCGATTATTATGGAAATCTTATGGACATTATTGAGTTAGATTATTATGGAAAACGAAAGGTTGTGTTGTTTCGGTGTGACTGGGTTGATGTAAACAGATGCATAAAAACAGATAAATTCGGGTTTACAATGGTGAATTTCTCTTGATTAATTCAAACAGGTCAAAGTTTGATGGATGAACCATATGTATTTTCTTCTCAAGTGAAACAAGTATTTTATTATCACGATCCAATGGATGATGGTTGGTATGTTATGCTCCGAAATACTCCCAGAGACTGGATAGACATCGGGGATGGAAGTAGAGATGACATTGAAACAAGATCAGAATGTTTACCTCTACTACCACAAAACTTAGATGAAACAATCACTAATACAACACAATTTCAATGGGTTCGGGAGGATGTTGATGAAGATATTTATGACACCTGACATTACATAAGAGTGTCGTACGATTTTATATTTTCATTTATTTATTTATAATGTTATAACTATTAACATGTTATCCTTCAATATATTCATTACTTAATTCATTTTTTTATTACTCATGTTTGTTTATTATAGATAGCATGCCGAGGAGAAAAATAACTGATTTGCGGGTTGTTCGAGCTTCTGAAGATCATGAAGAAAGAAATAACGAGGAATCGAATGCACCTGACTCTTCCGAAATTCCTGAAACTGTTGAAGAAGAAGTAGAAATTCAAGGTAATCTTCGAAACATTATTTACTACTTTGTTCATTTTCAAAACTGTCATTTAATAATTTATTATATAGTTGAAAATGTTGGAACGCGCAAGACTCGAGGACGTATAACTTTGAAGGAATTATACCAACTTCCTCATGGGCATCGTGTCAAAGTTTCAAGAAATGATGTCGGTCAACCTATTGGCCCAGAATCACGTCTTCTAGCAGGTTACTTAGGCATAGTTGGACGTAATGTGAATCTGTTACCGATCAATTACGAGTCATGGCGCGAAATGCCTAATAGTCACAAAAATCAGGCGTTGAATTTTGTTAAGGTAATAATGTCATTATTATTATATACTCTATAGAAATTCAATACTAATGTATACTTACGGTGCACACTTATTTGTTGTATAGGAGAAATTTTCTTTAGAGGTCTCTGACGATTATGTTAAGCAAGCGTTAGGGAAGAGATGGAGGGACCACAAGAGCTCCTTAAAGAAGAAATAATTCAAGAATGATCTCAGCCTTGAAGAGAAGTTGCAAACAGTCCCACCAGGAATGCTCAGGTACCAATGGGAAGATACAGTCAGATTTTGGAGTTCAAAAAAGGATAGGTATGATGTATTTTTCAGAAATAATTGTAACGAATTGTAAATCATCATTAAAAGTGGTTGTTTGACATTGTAGGATCGAGAGCATGTTGGTGTTGCTAGCAGGCAACAATAAAAGTTTACGCACACGGCTGGATCAAAGAGCTTTGCTTGTATAGCTCATGAGGAGGTATTAAAGATTATTGAAATAGTTTTTTGTATTCCATATACATACTAACTCATAGTAATTATATTATGGTACATTGTAGGAAAATACATCCGGTTTTAAAGTTGGTCGAATACAACTCTTCGACATGACACATACGAAGAAGGATGGCACTCTTATGACTGCTGACGCTGCAGAACTTATGGTACGTTTATTGGGTAGATGTTTTAAATTTACCTGACTTTATTTATATTTGTACCATGACATTTTTATTTTAATTAATTATTCACTTTATTATTAGCAAAAATTGAGGGAGAAAAAGGCAGAGCATCATGCTACCGCTTCGAGTCAATGTATTGTTAATGATGATGACATTGAAAATCAAGCTATTAATGACGTTTTGGGTCCTGAAAGATTTGGTCGGGTGCGCTGTCAAGGATCATTCGTTACTCCCACCAAATATTTTGGATACAGCTCATCACAGTACATGTCATCACAGTCTCGATCTTCCCACCACGAAGTTAGTCGTTTAAAAGAAAAGTTGGCTGAGATGGATCAACAAATGGCTAACTTGAAAGAGGAAAATGAAGCAAGGGAAGCAGAGAGAGCAACAGCGGAAGTAGCCAGAGCAGCAGCGGAAGAAGAGAAAGAAGCAGCGGTAGTACAGAGAGAAGCAGCGGCAGCACAGAGAGAAGCAACATATCAGCAGAGATGTGAAGAATTTGAAAAACGAATCAATGATATGATGCTAATGATACAGAAAACGCAACCTCAACATCCACCATCATAGTCTTATTTATGTTATGAGCATTCTGTTAATGTTATTAAAGCTTGTTTAACTGAACTTATATTACGTTAATGAAAACTTTTATTTATTAGATTGGATTTAATGATGTTTGTTATGGACATAGAGTTTGATGTTATTGTTGTTTTTGTTTGTTAGATAATGGAACAGGTTGAAAAAATAGATTTGGGGGTAATCAAGCATTATTTTTAGAATTGTAAAATTTTGTGTTATTTAGCGGCGTTTGTTAAAAAAAGGCCGCAATATACCATACATTTAGCGGCGTTTGTATACTATAAACGCCGCTATATACCGAACTTTAGCGGTGTTTTTATGAAAAACGCCGCTAAAGCTCAACACCTATTGCGGTGTTTTCAATAGAAACGCCGCTAATTCTCAACCCTTATTGCGTCATTTTCGATACAAACGCCGCTTAATCTGAAAACCTACTGCGACGTTTGTGGGAGAAACGTCGCTAAACATCATAACCTATTGCGGCGTTTGTTGAAAAATGCCACAAAATATCAACACCTACTGCGGCGTTTGTAGGGAAAACGCCACTAAATATCAACACCTACTGCGGCATTTGTAGGGAAAACACCGTTAAACATCAACACCTACTGCGACGTTTGTAGGAAAAACGCCGCTAAACATCAAAACCTATTACGGCATTTTTGTGACAAATGCCGCTAAATAACAATACCTATTGCGGCATTTTTTGTTTTTATGGGCTTGCTGGTTGCTTTCGGGTGAGGATGTAGAGGCCTAGGGTTTTGGGGTTTGAATCGATTTTATTTGCCCCCATTGTCGACGCCATATGTGGCGGTTATGGGGCATGCTTCTCTATTCTTCTGATAGGAAAGAAAGAAATGGAAGTAGAGAGTGAAAGGGGGTGAGGGTTGAAATGGCATAGGGTTTCGAAATAACCCTTAAATGGGATATATTTCAACTGCCAAGTGACGCTGTTTAGGCCAAGAGGGATTTGCGTTTTTTTGAAAATGGTACAATATCATTTTAGGTCCCTCTATCTTTGTAATGGATATAATCAGATCACTTAATGAAGTTTTATTCTTCCATTTCAAGTACCTTATTTGTTTAGTGTTTTATTTTAGATTGTATTATATCTTTTTAAATGTTTAGATATCTAGCTGTAAATTTTACTTAGTTTTCATTTGGTCATCAGTTAATGATTTCTATTTATTTTATTTTGGACATAATTTTTGTTTATCTTTCATTTTGATCACTATTTGTTCACTAATGGGTTTAGGGTGAATACTTTGTTTTGAGCTCTGATTTATGATTAAGTTCATTTTAGTCATCATTTTTTAGAGCTTTAGTGTTCGAGTTTATTTCCATTAGGTCCTTACCTGTTTTATAAATATGTTTGGTTTTATGTCTATTCTTGTCTATTGATTTGTGATTTAGTTCATTTAGGTCCTTATTTGTGTATTAATTAAATTATTAGCATTTATAATATGGATTCTGAATTTGTTTCACTTTTGTTTTAGACCCTAAATAATATTTTTAAAGGTAGATATTTAATTTGTGTTATGGGTTTTAGATTTTAATTTGAGTTCATTTGGTCATCACTGTTGATTTTACAAGTAAATTGCATGGGTATACCTGTTTATATTTTATTACTTTATTTGTTTATAAATTAATCATCTTATTGTGTTGCTTTAGTTTTTTCCTTATTATTATTCTAAACCATTTAAGTAATATTTTGTTTATTCATTTTTGTGTGTTTATTATTACGTTACATGTAAATATATTTGCTTGGTATTCCATAATTCTTGAAGAAACCGATTATCCGTATATATTATGCTCATATTAATTAATCTTGTGTCAGTGTTTTATGTATCTCTCGTATTCGATTAAATGTTTAAATTAACTCGAATGTTTTTTCAAGAACACCGATTTATAGAATAAGCGTAGAAAGTATCATTTGGTTGAAATGATGCGATCCAATACGATATTTTAACAAAATGTAAACTTTAAATAAATTAATTTTATTTGTGCTCATTAATTCATATAGTATTTTAAATTGTATAAATTCAATGTGTTTCTTTGTAGCGATTCATTTTATGCAAAGATTGATTTTCATTTATTTTCGATTCGCTTTTTATCAAAGAGGGAATATTCTTTACATATAAGAAATAGTCAAAATAGCTCTCCCGACGGAGGATTGCAAATCTCGAGATTTCTTTTCGAATTAAAGAATTTTCTCTAATTAATTAATTCGAAGCAAATTAATTATATTTCAATAAATGAATTATATTTTAACTTTATATTTCATTCCTAAATTTCATTACTACGACAATGTGTAAGCGAGTTTATTACCAATTTTGGGCGTTGTGGAGGTGCTTACCCTTCCCCGCACGTAACCGACTTCCGAACCCGTTTTAATCGAATCTTTGATGACAAAGACCAATTTTTTCTTAAAAATATTTTTTTCTTAAATTTGTTTTTAAAAGACATTTTTAGGTATTCGACCTACCTTACCCACCTTTTTAATTTAATTCTAATTAATTCTAAATCATCAATTTTTTCAAATTAATGTCATAATCGTTTTTAAAATAATATTTTAATTGTTTTCCTAGAAAATGGTTAAGACAAACTCAATCACCATTCCGATACCAATAGAGACTATACAAAAGTTACCAATGGATGTCAACATCTGTTGAAAGTGACCGACGTTGCTGGTGCTGTCAACAAGGTGAGCAGCCTTGCCAAAGAAAGTATGGAGACCGGTGGCGATAACGACGACGTCGATCTCGCCTTGTTTGCAGGTGGAACCAGAGAAGACGTGATCATCGGGATTCTTTGTGACGGGTAGGGACTCACCAGTGAGAGCTGCCTGATCGATTTTGAGAACATCGCCCTCCAAGAGACAAGCATCCGCCTGTATAATGTCTCCTTGTTTAACACTAATTATATCTCCAGGTACGAAAATTGATGCCTCTTGTTCGCTCCATTTCCCGTCTCTCAACACCTACAGAGTGAACCGTGGTGTTGATCAATGAAATCTCAAATATTGGTGCAAAACGAACAAATAAGTAAATAGATATATTCCTTTGTTTTGGGTGCTAGACCTGCCATCATAAGCAGCAGCGGCATTGCCGGCGCTGTTTTCCTCTACAAAACTAATGGTTAAATTGATTAAAACCAAAGTAACAGTACCAACGAAATCTGGCCAGTTGGGAGGCTTGCCTCCGCCATTGGCCAAAACAATGGCCATGGTGGCGGCAGCCTCCATCACCCGCGACAGCGGATTCCACATAAACCCTAAGATCTTTAGGATTTTGCTCTCTCTTTTCTCTTCAAGCTTGTTAGGACCGAAAATGCTCAGCCTCTTCTCTCATTCTTCTGTTGTCAAACCTTCTCTCGTACATCTCAACACTTTAAAAACTTCTTCCACTAGGATTTTCTCCTACACACACTTTTAGTTTCCTTTAGGGTGGGGGATGGGACAATAGGAACGAAAGCTGACATGCATGCAAAAAAAAGGTATCTTTTTTTTTTTTTATTTGCAAACGAAAGCTAACATGCAAAAGGGAAAAAAAGGAACAAGACCAACGGTTTCTCTTTTTATCTGCTCAAATGAAATATCATCATGGAAGCCATTGGATACACACGAATGAAAAACAAAGAGTCGATTGCAAGAAGAAGTCTTCGTCTACAAGGAAGAAAGAAGAAAACTCTTGAACCAAAAGCCTTATTTCCCCTTTATTCTTTTCTTCTTTTTTTTTTCCTAAGTTTCTTCTTTCTTTATTAGGTCTAACGTCAGACTTCCCTGTCCTCCTCCATAAGACAGGGATGAATGTAATGAATGAGAATAGGAGATCGGTTTTCTTCTCTCTGTCAAGGGATTGAAATGTTTTTTCCTTGAGATTTATTTATTTGTTTATGTTCTTTTATACCCAACTTGGAAACAAAAATAATGGAAGCAAGACAATAATATCGTTGAAACGAAGCTGATCTATGTCCATGTCAGAGATTATGTGGCTCGTCGTGAGTATCGTACAACGTTTTCCATGATTATGAAATGAAAAATATGTTGGGTAATATCTAAATTATTAATTTTGTTTTAATATAGTACTTAAAATTTTAACTTTTTTAAAATCATACTCAGTGAAGCTTAGCTTTCATTTTATTTTAGTGCTCGTCATTAAAAAAATTTAACAGTATATAAACTATAATTTTTATTTGTTTGAGTATCTAAATTTTTAATTTTTTTAAAAACTGGATGTTAAATTTTGAACGGAATACTAAAACAAAATAAAAACTAATGTTTTTAAATTAAACTTTAGGCTCTTCTAGTTTCTTTGCTAAAGATTGCTCGGAGTGCTTATGTTTATCATCTTTGAAGCGAAAGGAATAATATAGTATTCAAGGGGAGGAGTGGAAGGAGCTCGGGAACTTTAATTGAAGCAATTAAGGAAATGGTTCGGTTGAGGTTGATGGGGGTTCCTGCAAATCGTGAAGGGGTTAATGGTTGGTTGTGTAGTAGATGGGGCATAGGTTGATTGTTGTATAGGTTTTTTTTGTTGTTGCCATTTTTAGGGTTTTGTTTGTTTGCTGGAAGCAATTTTTATAGTTTTGCTTTCAATCCTCTTTGTTGAATAGCAGTGTTGCTGCTTGGTTTTCTTTGTAACAGATTATCGGCTCTCTTTAGAAAATGAATACTGTACTTATCCAAAAAAACTTAAACTTTAGATATAATTTTAAAAAAAATAAAAGTTTAGGTCTAAAATCATAATTTACCCAAAAATCTTTTAATAGTCTATGTAAAGGACGGGTGCCAACTCCCCCACACTTTTCTTCCATTTATCTTTCGGTTTTTTTTCTTTTTTTAGCGACAAAATTTCATTAGAAGTTAAAAAGTAGTTAAAAAAAAGACAACCAATACAATAGGGCTGCTTTATGCAAAATATCCATTTATTTTATCAAATAAATGAAATAGTGTATTTATAAATTAATTATGTTTATTCGATCATTTAAAAACCGGTTAAAGTTTGAAGATATTAAATGATTTTTATGGAAACAAAAGGGGAAATAATTAATTCAAGACTTCTGTGAGCGACGAACGTGGAAAACCAAAACCTTAGGGTTTTATCGGAGGCAGAAATAGCCATACCTCCATTCTCGCCCCTGTAAAGATCTGATTCCCCGATTATCTTAGAATAACAGAGAGTAACAAAGAAGGTAAAGAATCGCCTGACCACACCGATTATCGGAGCATCTATGGAAGTTACCTACATGTTTTCTGTAGAAGACTCCCAAGCCCCTGTCGCAGATCTCAACCCCGAAAGACCTACCATGGGGAAGCCGTCTTACGCAACTATAACAGCCGGTGTTGTAAACAAAGGCAAACAACCCATTATAAACCTTAGAGACGATGAGGTAATTTTCAAGGACGGTGATGTGACTATCGATAATTCTGGAGCCCATTCAAAGATTAAGTTTTCAGAGCGACTACATGATTGAATCGATCTCAATATGAAACAAACAGTCATCGTGCGCCTCTTAGGAAAAAGAATAAGGTACAAAGCACTTTGGAATCGAGTAAACACTTTCCCGCAACCGCTTGGCAACCTCAACCTTGTTGATCTAGACAATGACTATTATCTCGTTAAGTTTGAAAAAACTGAAGATTATACAAGGTTCTCACCAAAGGCCCGTGGAAAATATACGGAAGTTATCTCACAGTCCAACCATGAAGTAGAAAATTTTCTACGACAGAGAAACACCATTCTCAAGTGATTGTTTGGGTCCGACTCCCAGGGCTACCGTACAGGTATTACACAAATATGCACTTCAAGACAATAGACAACACCATTGGAAGAGTCATTAGAATCGACTATAATACCAATATGTTAGGGATTTATGATGCTCCATCGATCAATGGAAAAATTGTCAAGAGGTGAGTAAATTGATCTTTTTAAATTTTGATTTAATTTTCTCAACGAAGTCTACATCTACTACCTTAGCTCCTTACTAATAATTTCTAACAAATTTACTAATTTGTTCTTTCTTTTTCTAAGTTCAAGAGTAACATTTACAAATTCTTTATATTTTATAATGGCTGAGATAAAACCAAAATTAACCCCTTTTCAATAAGGACAAAATATTGTAAACAAGACAACTCTTAAATGAAGGTGTTTACACAATTTAGTTCACTAAAACATTCTATATACAAGAGAAAAAGGAAAATTAAAGAGTTTTTCTCTTAATTTGGATTGCTTGGATAGTTGTAATATTCTTTAACTTTTTATATGTTGTAATAAGTTTGTAGTCGTTTCTAACCGTTGGGGTCCATCACAAGACCAAGGAGTCCATCTCGTGAATTGGGATACACTCTGCTTACTAGTGAATCAAGGTGGCTAAGGTCTAAAATATCTGAATAAACAAAATAAGGCATTCGTTTTGAAACTTGCCTATAAACTAATTGAAAAGGTGTTGAACTTTCATTAATGGATCCAATAGAAAACACATTCTGGCCCAATACAACAAAATAATATTTACAGGCATAGATGAACATACTCAATAGCCCAGAGTAACCAACGAGTTGATTGACAAATTCCGCGATTATAACCGAAGCCCAACAAGGACAACTCACTGGGTTGACATTTGTCAATTATGGCTGCAACACACTGATTCTCGTCAGATAAATACACTTTTAAGTGTATAAATTCTACTTTAAATTGATTTTTCGTGTTTAAATATTTTTTCTTTAAAAATAAGTGTTTAAGTTTTTAATATTAAATTTTTAGATACTCAGACGATAACTGTCTTTAAAAAATTTTATTAAGTGACATGCATCACACACTAATAATTTTAAGAATTTTTTACTTAAAATAAAAAAAACATAAAATATTATTTTAACAAAACTATTTTTTTTAAATTAGAAAAAAAAATTAAAAACTTTCATTCCAACCTTTATTATCAGTCGTAGTCGATCATCTTCAGCCATCATCATCATCGTCGAACGATCACCCACTCGTTGCCGCCCACCAAATAATCAATCGTCACCTTTACTGTCTCCTCAAACCCCTAAATCTCTAAAATCTTCAATATCTAAATCTCTAATCTTTAAATTCTAATTCTCAATTTATAAAATCCTTAATTTATACCTCATAGATTTACAATTTTTTAGCTTTACGCACATTTGAGCTTGGAATTAACTTGACGTGCACCATTAAAGTTATCTATTTTAAACTTAGATTTAATTTCAACTAAATTAATTTGGTGGTGGGAGAGGAGGCGTTCACCGGAATGGGAGGGAGAGGGTTGATTTTTTTAATTTTTTAAAAATATATGTTTTTATATTTAAAAAAATAAAAACATATTAACGGCGAACATTTAAAAGTATAAGGAAAAATATTAGGTACTTATTTTTACCGAAAACTTTTTAGACACTAAAAAGTAAATTGGAGTTGTAATTTAGGGGCAAAATGTCAACTTTTATGGAAACAACCGAGTGATTCTTTTACATAAACGTTTCCCAAATGCATAAACTTTGAGTCATCGGGGTACCACTTGGGTTATCGATGCATCATTCACAGAAAAAACCTGCTTCCTCTCGATGCCTGTATCATCTCTTGTGATTGAAAATGCAGGTTTCTTAGGTGTATTGATTGCAACACTACTTTCGTTCTTGAGAATCGTAAAAACGTCCACCATTGAAGGTCTATCCGCAGCATTTCCCTGCACACATAGCAGTGCTACTTCCATACTCTAATGAGCTTACACGACGAAGACGAATCATCGAGTGAAGAATCGAAAAACTCTGCTCCTCGACCTTGTTTCCACAATTCATAAGCCTGCACATCATTTCAGCATTATACATTTTCCAGTATTTGTACCACAAAATGGAAAATGTGTGCCTCAAAAGTTACTTACATATTCAAGAAGATTCAAGTTTTCATGGCATCCATAGTATCTGGAACTCCTCTTGCCACTTATAATTTGCAGAAGCAAAACTCCGAAACTATAAACATCGTACTTGGTAGAGTATATTCCTTTCGCAACGTATTCCGGTGGAACATAGCCACTGCATTGAATCAGTGAATTAATAACAACATATAGATGCAATGCAAAAGATCAGAAAACGATCTGATATGTATTTTGTGAGGCCATCTGGTTTCACTTACTATGTCCCAACAATTCTGCCGGTGTTTGCTTCATGTTCATCCTTCCTGAAAAACTTGGCCATACCAAAATCCGATATTTTCGGGCTCATTTCAGAATCTAACA